GCTGTTTTAATGGCATTGAATTTTTTGTAATTTCGGATTCATTCTAACAGCAAGCCTAAGTATTTTCTGTGTGCTACTATATTGTTTTTTTTAAATTTTGTTTTAGTACTGTTCATCGGTGACAGGTTCTGGTGTCGTACCAAAATGGTTCTTGCGCCAAGGTTCAAGCAGTGGCGACCTTTGAGCTTGAAGCAGCAGAAGCTCAACCGGGCGAGTCACGTTGTTGGCGCGGCTGCTTTTACAGCTTCAATTGTCTTGGCCGTAATTTGTTAGTAAGTATCTGTTCATCTTTTAACGTGAAAGTTGTCAATTTTTAGGGAAAGCTTCAGCTGTCGTAACTCAAATGAAGCTTTGAAGATGATTAGAGTTAGTTTACACCAATTCTGTCGTATAAAGGTGACTCAAAGTCATTGTAACAGGTATGCGGCAACATCGTACAGTCACCATGCATCTGAAGGTCTATGTGCCTGGGGAGGGCATTTAAGTAAATCACGTCTTCATTGCGTTCGAGTATCCGCGAATTGTGGACGCATCACAATGTATGCTGTTGGCTCGAACAACGTACATGTTCGTAATGTTAAAACGAGGGGCGATATCTGAGCGACATACATACTCATGCACCAATGAAGTGATTTTTAGCTCTAAGCCATCATATATGCGGCTATTTTTCTTTGAGCAACAACCCACATGTGATATAGAACGCTTTCTTAGCTGTTACAGAAGTCTTGCAGCGCTCTCAGAACGTCAGTGAATTCCCGTGTATGTCTGACGTTGTTCATGTGATCCTGATGTAAGCCGCAGCAACAAAGGCCTTAAAGGAGTAGAAAAGAACGTAACGCGCTAGATGTGTTCTAGTGCTTCTGTTGGCAGCAAATATTCTATTTAAGAGTAGCTGACAAGATCTTTATCTTCTTTTTATCCCATTGCATCGAAAGCGACGCCGGTTGCCGTGCAAGCATTTCGCCATGACCTTATAAATGAGTGCTCATCCTTCATTCCTTTCGAGATCTTCTCAATTTGTTGTCGGTGCACTGTGACGGTTGTCTGCCATCAAGACTTGCGTTCTGTACTCGTTTTGCAAGGTGGCTATCGTTCATGGGTTGGCAGTGGCCCTGCGTTGTAAACGCATTTATTGCCATCAATCGTATTATTTTAGTTGTATATTCTAATCTCTCAGACTCATTTCTTTCGCATCCATTCTTCTGTTTTCGGGTTTTTTAACAGCTACATTCACCAGGCCACAGAACAGTGTGTTCATAATGTAAGCCCTCTATATCTGCCGCTTGGTGCTGTTACCAACATCTTTGCCCTCCCAGAGCTTGAACAGCTTGTTACTCATCGCTTATGCCCAAGCACGTCGCCTTTTAAATTCGTATGTCACCGTCAGTGTATTCCCAGGATGCAAATGTTCTGGTACCTTCTCCACAGTTCGGTGTCAAATGTCAGGCAATCTTTAATCTGGCATCTTGTTCTTTAAATTGTTCGAGTCTCAGATCAAAACATCTCTTATTCTGAGTTAGGAACATTGACGTCGCTGCTTCAAAGTTTTCTGTAAGATGATAATAAAATATCATCCGCAAACGCAACAGTGTTTATGCAGATGTTGCCCCATTTTTGCGACAGTCACCGTTTTGCTCCTTTATATTGGCTGAAGCTGCCAGTCAGGAAACATCGCTAGCAGCAGTGGAGATTTCGCTCCTTCTTGCCTTACTCTGAACTTGTACGAAATAGTTGACTGAACCTGTCTTCTTCTCTTTTGTTTACCCATTAGCTGTTTCATTGTGAATATCTGGTCCATACATCTCTTCTCCCTGTCCTGAATTCAGTCTGCTCTTCACTTAGGATCTACTCAAGAGGTTGTCTAATCATTTTCACCTACTATAACACACATGCATTGCAGGCTGATTGCACGAAACTGCACAGTCCAAAGAGATTCACTAATGCCGTCACTCCGCTCATTCCAGACCTTTTACGTAGCTCTAGTGGTATTTCATCATTTCTTGTCGCAATGCCATTTCTCAGATGGCTTGAAGCCTCAGTCACTTCTTCGGGAGTCGGCGGATGCAACATCATCATTCATCTTTTGTTAGGAGATGATAGCTTACGATGAATACTGTTTTGCAATCACAGTGCTTCTGTAATCTGAGCTAAATCTCCTGCATGGGTGATTGTCCTGAAACAGCTTCATTGCACCCACGTTAACCCCTGTTTCTCGTTTCTTGACAGGCATTCATGACAGTTTTAGCTTCCAGGAGGAATACATTCCACTGTTCTTCGCTCTGCCAAGCATTCCTTTACTTTCGACTTTGCCTCTCATGATTTGGACTTGAGATTGAGCTTTTTTCCAAAATACTGACAAGCTCACTAATTCTAAATTACTAAAGGATGCCAAAAAAGGCGCACAAGGAACGTATTGAACAGGGATTATTATTGACTTCATTTCGACATTCACTCTGTCATCTAATATGATGAGACGATAAATGGATGATCCTTTTTCCTGAGGTATACAGTGTTTGCTCCAGTCGTGGCCAGGGGATTACTCATCAGTAACACTGTTTTTGAATATCTAGTGATGCTTCATGAGTCTGATTTGACCAATGGAGCTTTATTTTGAATGCTAATAATTTTAAATTTGTAGTTACATTATGTCTCCGACTCCAGCAATGTCCTATGATACGCTTCACTTGAAGGAGTACAGCATCGGTGATCCGACGTTGCACGCTCGTCGAAAAATGAAATCGCGCATGTTCAACCGGGCTGCACTTTTCGTCGAGCAGCAAAAAGAGGCGATTCTTCCTGACGAACACGCCGTGACCGACGCGTAGATGAAAGCGGTCGATTCGGCCAGCTCTTTACTCAATATTTAATATTGTTTAGCATTTTGTTTTTACTTATGTTGTTTGTTAGTTAACTGTCACATTCGTTGGAAGTTTTTAACAGCAAATGACATGCGTTCGCATTTTGTGCAGATCTCTAGTCAAACGATTTAAGGAACGTAGAGAAGTGATACTGGAAAGGTCAAAGTCTCAGGTTCAAGTATCAACAGGATGATGTAATTCAAGGCATTTAGGACCTGCTGCAATTTCAAGAAGAGAAAGTCCGTTACGTAATCGCACTGCATTTCAATTATATTGCACAACAAATGACAATAACTGACGAACTCCGATACCAGGTACTGAAATTAGTTTTCTGAGAGCAGACACTAGGTTCACGTGTCTCCACATGTTCCGAAAGACAGATAAATGTGAGAGTCTTGGTGTATAGGCGCTATTTCTTGAGGTTGAGTATTTATGAGATCAATGGTTTGGGCATGTCTTGCAAACCCTCCAGGAAGCAAGTCGAAACAACTACTATTTGTCTAATCGGCGGCCAGAAACAGCCTGGGCTTTCCATTACACTAGTTCCTGTAGATGACTAAAAGTAA